ACGCAGCTCCGTATCGCAAAAAATGGCCTGGTCAGGAAGGGGGGTGAATCCTCTGGAGGGCAAGTGGTTAAGGAAGTCACTGAGCTGAATAAGATCCACTAGCCCATGTTTAACAAAGTATCCAATGTCCCGCTTTAGCTGAAGTGGGCTGCTGTAATCATAAAATGAGTGTGTTTGTGACATCACATCAGCAGGAGCTTGGCTCCAAACTTCTTGTTTTCAGCACACACCCACCATAAAACGCGGCTATAAATAGTTGTTTTTATGCTGCTACCTGATTTCAGGACAGAAGAGTTATTCTTTTTTTTATCTTTTTTTTCAAATAGAAGATAAAACGTTTGAAAATGAGAAGGCTGATAAGAGCATTTGAATTTCCTGGATAGTGAGGCATCCCTCATAATGCTCCAAACGCAATTCTTTTTAGAGTGAATTTAAATCTTTTTTGGTTTTATTTAAGTAAACATACCAATAGATCAAGGATAAATATATATATATATATATATATATATATATGAAAATAAAAAAAAACCTGTGCTAATAAGAACCACAATAGATATCAATAATCAAAAATGAGGTGTAAAACATATAGCAGCTGAACACAAAAACCCTGATACCAGGCAATCAACAATAAATACATAAAAGTGCAGTGCTTAAAAAGTTACAAATAATCATAAGAAAACAGTGAAAAATGTGTCAAAAAATAGTCCATCCAAAAAAAAAAGAAAAGAAAAGTCCCAGAGGCTGTGATGAGACAAAAGAAATCCAATGACAGTTGTCATGTCACCAACCACTACTACAGAAAGCTTACCAGAAAGGCATGACCCCCTGTTAAGAGTGGTCAATTGTGCTTTGTTAAACAATCCAGAAATCAGGTCACTGGAATGCTCCTCCAGATCACCAAAACAGCAGATAAGGATCTTCCTAACAATAGACCTTAATTAGGGTAGATAAACCATTCAAGATAAAGCTTGGACTCCTAGTGGAAAACATGCAAAGAAAGAATGCTCCACATAATGTAAAACCATAATCACATTTATTTAAAGTATGGTTGCACTCACATGTAAGCAAGCATCATTAGGCATTGACTGGCAAAAAAAATCCAATTTTCCAGTTTCCAAGATGGCCACCGGCCATTCGTGCATGCGCAGTAGCGTGTGTGTGTGTGTCTCCACCTGAGTGGTTTAGCTACCCTAATTTAGGTCCATTGTTTGGAAGATCCTTATCTGCTGTTTTGGTGATCTGGAGGAGGATTCGAGTGACCGGCTTTCTGGATTGTTTAAACCCATCACAATGGCGCCTCCCGCCCCCTTAAGAGTTTCAGAAGCCGGGAGGCGGTATGGGCATGGCGGGGTTTAGGGATCATGTGAACGCCATGATGCGTCGTCACGGCGGTCACATGATCGGGAAAGGTCCCAATCGAAAGAAAAGACCAGGACCTTTCTGTGAGTACCGGACATGTGTGCTGGGAGTGCCCAGGGCACGTGCTCTCAGCACATATGTTTTTTTTTAATGGAGCGCAAATGTGCGGCCGCTCGGCATCTAGGCCCAGACACCGGGAGGCCGCACATTTGTTTGCGGCCGGCGTGAAGAGGTTAACAAAGCGCGATTGACCACTCTTAACAGAGGGTCATGCCTTACTGGTAAGCCTTCTGTAGTAGTGGTTGATGACAGAACAACTGTCCTTGGATTTCTTTTGTTTCATCACAGCCTCTGGGACTTTTCTTTTCTTTTTATTTTTGGATTGAATATTTTTTGACACGTTTTCTTTGTAACTTTTTAAGCGCTGCACTTTTATGTATTTATACCAATAGATCAATTTATGTAAGTACTCTTTTCATTATATACTTGTATTTTAAAACCCTTGTATCTGTATATATTTTATAATTATAAAAGTGGGGCATATATACTATATATCGTCCTGAAAAATGCAAGTACCATAATCCAAAGTTTTATATATTAGCATCGTATCACCTTGCAAAGAAAGTACCAGTGAGGAGTATGGATTTGGGCACTGGATCATAGGCTATTTTAGTTCATCACAATGCGACAAGGTGTACGTCATGAAGATCAATGCCCTGGCTAAGGCTGCTCAAAAGAAGTCCTTGAGGGGCACCTCGGAGAGGTCCAAATGTATGAAACACAAGGAGATTGCCACACTATTTGTTATAGAGGCCAGATTTCTAAATTTAGCTAGACCTTTGTCAAAGTGACTAGATGTAAAGATGTTACATTCAATACTTTTCAGGGATATAGTCTCTCTTCATCAGGGCTTTAATAGCTATAAAGGACTGGGTACCAGGACTCTTGGAAGAGGGTTCAGAAGCTTATGGACCTTTACATAAGGAAGTGCTGAAGCAGTTAGTATGTACTAGCAGACTTCTCGCATCCTTAGGTCACCATGGTGAAGTGTTGCATGATGACCTTATAAATGTGTAACTGTAACCATTGTATTACTGGATTTTCCTACTTGATTAATTTCCCAGAGCATAGAAAACACATAGAGGTGTTGTCAGGGCCTGGATATAAACTCAGGACCTCTGCTCTGTTTAGCAGTAACACTTCTGGCTGCGTCACCTGAGTTGATTGGACAGCTCCTTTTCTGATCTATTAGACCAGTGGTTCTCAACCTTTCTAACACCGCGACCCCTTAATACAGTTCCTCATGTTGTGGTGACCCCCAACCATAAAATTATTTTCGTTGCTACTTCATAACTGTAATTTTGCAGTAGGAGGAATAGTGCCACGTCATTGGTGTCAGTGGGAGGAATAGTGCCCCGTCATTGGTATCAGTGGGAGGAATAGTGCCCCGTCATTGGTGTCAGTGGGAGGAATAGTGCCCCGTCATTGGTGTCAGTGGGAGGAATAGTGCCCCGTCATTGGTGTCAGTGGGAGGAATAGTGCCCCGTCATTGGTGTCAGTGGGAGGAATAGTGCCCCGTCATTGGTGTCAGTGGGAGGAATAGTGTGCCCGTCATTGGTGTCAGTGGGAGGAATAGTGCCTCGTCATTGGTATCAGTGGGAGGAATAGTGCCCCGTCATTGGTGTCAGTGGGAGGAATAGTGCCTCGTCATTGGTGTCAGTGGGAGGAATAGAGCCCCATCATTGGTGTCAGTGGGAGGAATAGTGCCCCATCATTGGTGTCAGTGGGAGGAATAGTGTCCCATCATTGGTATCAGTGGGAGGAATAGTGCCCCATCATTGGTGTCAGTGGGAGGAATAGTGTCCCATCATTGGTGTCAGTGGGAGGAATAGTGCTCCATCATTGGTATCAGTGGGAGGAATAGTGCCCCATCATTGGTGTCAGTGGGAGGAATAGAGCCCCATCATTGGTATCAGTGGGAGGAATAGTGTCCCATCATTGGTATCAGTGGGAGGAATAGTGTCCCATCATTGGTATCAGTGGGAGGAATAGTGCCCCATCATTGGTATCAGTGGGAGGAATAGTGCCTCATCATTGGTGTCAGTAGGAGGAATAGTGCCCCATCATTGGTATCAGTGGGAGGAATAGTGCCTCATCATTGGTGTCAGTAGGAGGAATAGTGCCTCATCATTGGTGTCAGTGGAAGGAATAGTGCTCCATCATTGGTATCAGTGGGAGGGAGGAATAGTGCCCCATCATAGGTGTCTGTGGGAGGAGGAATAGTGTCCCATCATCGGTATCAATGGGAGGAATATTGCCCCATCATTGGTATCTGTGGGAGGAATAGTGCCCCATCATTGGTGTCGGTGGGAGGAATAGTGCCCCATCATTGGTGTCGGTGGGAGGAATAGTGTCCCATCATTGGTGTCAGTGGGAGGAATAGTGTCCCATCATTGGTGTCAGTGGGAGGAATAGTGCTCCATCATTGGTGTCAGTGGGAGGAATAGTGCCCCATCATTGGTGTCAGTGGGAGGAATAGTGCCCCATCATTGGTGTCAGTGGGAGGAATAGTGCCCCATCATTGGTGTCAGTGGGAGGAATAGTGCCCCATCATTGGTATCAGTGGGAGGAATAGTGCCCCATCATTGGTATCAGTGGGAGGAATAGTGCCTCATCATTGGTGTCAGTAGGAGGAATAGTGCCTCATCATTGGTGTCAGTGGAAGGAATAGTGCTCCATCATTGGTATCAGTGGGAGGAATAGTGTCCCATCATTGGTATCAGTGGGAGGAATAGTGCCTCATCATTGGTGTCAGTGGAAGGAATAGTGCTCCATCATTGGTATCAGTGGGAGGAAATAGTGTCCCATCATTGGTATCAGTGGGAGGAATAGTGCCTCATCATTGGTGTCAGTAGGAGGAATAGTGCCCCATCATTGGTATCAGTGGGAGGAATAGTGCCTCATCATTGGTGTCAGTGGAAGGAATAGTGCTCCATCATTGGTATCAGTGGGAGGAATAGTGCCCCATCATTGGTGTCAGTGGGAGGAATAGTGCCCCATCATTGGTATCAGTGGGAGGAATAGTGCCCATCATAGGTGTCAGTGGGAGGAGGAATAGTGCCCCATCATTGGTGTCAGTGGGGGGAGGAATAGTGCCCCATCATAGGTGTCAGTGGGGGGAGGAATAGTGCCCCATCATAGGTGTCAGTGGGGGGAGGAATAGTGCCCCATCCTTGGTGTCAGTGGGGGGAGGAATACTGCCCCCATCCTTGGTGTCAGTGGGGGGAGGAATCGTGCCCCATCATTGGTGTCAGTGGGGGGAGGAATAGTGCCCCATCCTTGGTGTCACTTGGGGGAGGAATAGTGCCCCATCGTTGGTGTCAGTTGGGGGAGGAATAGTGCCCCATCGTTGGTGTCAGTGGGAGGAATAGTGCCCCATCCTTGGTGTCAGTGGGGGGAGGAATAGTGCCCCATCCTTGGTGTCAGTGGGGGGAGGAATAGTGCCCCATCCTTGGTGTCAGTGGGGGGAGGAATAGTGCCCCATCCTTGGTGTCAGTGGGGGGAGGAATACTGCCCCATCCTTGGTGTCAGTGGGGGGAGGAATACTGCCCCATCCTTGGTGTCAGTGGGGGGAGGAATAGTGCCCCATCATTGGTATCAGTGGGAGGAATAGTGCCCCATCATTGGTATCAGTGGGAGGGAATAGTGCCTCATCATTGGTGTCAGTAGGAGGAATAGTGCCTCATCATTGGTGTCAGTGGAAGGAATAGTGCTCCATCATTGGTATCAGTGGGAGGAATAGTGTCCCATCATTGGTATCAGTGGGAGGAATAGTGCCTCATCATTGGTGTCAGTGGGGGGAGGAGGAATAGTGCTCATCATTGGTATCAGTGGGAGGAATAGTGCCTCATCATTGGTGTCAGTGGAAGGAATAGTGCTCCATCATTGGTATCAGTGGGAGGAATAGTGTCCCATCATTGGTATCAGTGGGAGGAGGAATAGTGCCTCATCATTGGTGTCAGTGGAAGGAATAGTGCTCCATCATTGGTATCAGTGGGGGGAGGAATAGTGTCCCATCATTGGTATCAGTGGGAGGAATAGTGCCCATCATTGGTGTCAGTAGGGGGAGGAATAGTGCCCCATCATTGGTGTCAGTGGGGGGAGGAATAGTGCCTCATCATTGGTGTCAGTGGAAGGAATAGTGCTCCATCATTGGTATCAGTGGGAGGAATAGTGCCCCATCATTGGTGTCGGTGGGAGGAATAGTGCCCCATCATTGGTATCAGTGGGAGGAAATAGTGCCCCATCATAGGTGTCAGTGGGGGGAGGAATAGTGCCCCATCATTGGTGTCAGTGGGGGGAGGAATAGTGCCCCATCATAGGTGTCAGTGGGGGGGAGGAATAGTGCCCCATCATAGGTGTCAGTGGGGGGAGGAATACTGCCCCATCCTTGGTGTCAGTGGGGGGGAGGAATACTGCCCCATCCTTGGTGTCAGTGGGGGGAGGAATCGTGCCCCATCCTTGGTGTCAGTGGGGGGAGGAATCGTGCCCCATCCTTGGTGTCACTTGGGGGAGGAATAGTGCCCCATCGTTGGTGTCACTTGGGGGAGGAATAGTGCCCCATCGTTGGTGTCAGTGGGAGGAATAGTGCCCCATCCTTGGTGTCAGTGGGGGGAGGAATAGTGCCCCATCCTTGGTGTCAGTGGGGGAGGAATACTGCCCCATCCTTGGTGTCAGTGGGGGGAGGAATACTGCCCCATCCTTGGTGTCAGTGGGGGGGGAGGAATACTGCCCCATCCTTGGTGTCAGTGGGGGGAGGAATACTGCCCCATCCTTGGTGTCAGTGGGGGGAGGAATACTGCCCCATCCTTGGTGTCAGTGGGGGGAGGAATACTGCCCCATCCTTGGTGTCAGTGGGGGGAGGAATCGTGCCCCATCCTTGGTGTCAGTGGGGGAGGAATCGTGCCCCATCCTTGGTGTCAGTGGGGGGGAGGAATCGTGCCCCATCCTTGGTGTCGGTGGGAGGATAGTGCCCCATCATTGGTATCAGTGGGAGGAATAGTGCCCCATCATAGGTGTCAGTGGGAGGAGGAATAGTGCCCCATCATTGGTGTCAGTGGGGGGGAGAGGAATAGTGCCCCATCATAGGTGTCAGTGGGGGGAGGAATACTGCCCCATCATAGGTGTCAGTGGGGGGAGGAATACTGCCCCATCATAGGTGTCAGTGGGGGGAGGAATACTGCCCCATCCTTGGTGTCAGTGGGGGGAGGAATACTGCCCCATCCTTGGTGTCAGTGGGGGGAGGAATCGTGCCCCATCCTTGGTGTCAGTGGGGGAGGAATAGTGCCCCATCGTTGGTGTCACTTGGGGGAGGAATAGTGCCCCATCGTTGGTGTCAGTGGGAGGAATAGTGCCCCATCGTTGGTGTCAGTGGGGGGAGGAATAGTGCCCCATCCTTGGTGTCAGTGGGGGGAGGAATAGTGCCCCATCCTTGGTGTCAGTGGGGGGAGGAATAGTGCCCCATCCTTGGTGTCAGTGGGGGGAGGAATACTGCCCCATCCTTGGTGTCAGTGGGGGGAGGAATCGTGCCCCATCCTTGGTGTCAGTGGGGGGAGGAATACTGCCCCATCCTTGGTGTCAGTGGGGGGAGGAATACTGCCCCATCCTTGGTGTCAGTGGGGGGAGGAATACTGCCCCATCCTTGGTGTCAGTGGGGGGAGGAATCGTGCCCCATCCTTGGTGTCAGTGGGAGAGGAATCGTGCCCCATCCTTGGTGTCAGTGGGGGGAGGAATCGTGCCCCATCCTTGGTGTCAGTGGGGGAGGAATAGTGCCCCATCGTTGGTGTCACTTGGGGGAGGAATAGTGCCCCATCGTTGGTGTTAGTGGGAGGAATAGTGCCCCATCGTTGGTGTCAGTGGGAGGAATAGTGCCCATTATTGGTATTAGTGACACCAATGATGGGGCACTATTCCCACTGACACCAATGATTACTTACCTTGCTGACCCCTGCTCCAGCCTGGGCTCGCTCGCTCCCTCCCTCTCCCATGGTACACACTTACCTGTCAGCTGTCTTCCTTCTCCGGCCGCTCTCCTCCTCTTCACTCGCTCCATCTTCGCGGTGCCGCTCGGCTCCTCCTCTCCAAGCTCCACCTCCTTGCCAGTGATTGGCCGCCTGTGTGCCTCTCCTGAGCTACAGTGCCGGCGGCCAATCACAGGCAAGGATTGATCTCGAGGTGTGTCCAGGTGACAGGGGCGGCATGTCATCCCGCCCACACCTGGAGACGGCGGCGGCGGCGGCGGCGAGGAGCGGTGTCTCGGTTCCTAAGACCATCGGAAATATGTGTTTTCGATGGTCTTAGGCGACCCTGTGGAAGCGTCGTTCGACCCCCAAAGGGGTCGCGACCCCCAGGTTGAGAACCGCTGTATTAGACAATCTTGCCTTGCACTTTGTTTCTTGTGAACCTTTAACTCTTTGCTCCTGTCATTAACTTCCTATTTAAACCATGCTTTTGCACTTCCTGTTTGCCAGAATCCTGTGCTCCCTCCAGTATCTCGCTCTTGTCACTACTGATGCCATCCATATGTAGCACCCTCCTAGTGCAGCTAGGGGAAGTTAGATCCTAATAGTTAGTCAGGAGCTGGTTAGCAGCTCAGGTGTAATAGCCAGAGGAGTCAAATTTTGTGGTCAGGGCTGAGAGACTCTGCAGGCCAACCCCTCTGGTATTTCCCCCTGCTCTGAGGCTTTTGGAGGAGGGCCTTGGAGGCAGTGGGTGGATCTGAGGAGTTGCTGGCTGCACTCTTGAGGGACTTCTGTCAATCCCAAACAGAAGGCTTGGCAAGGGGATGGGACCCTCTTAACCACTTGCCTACCAGGCACTTATACCCCCTTCCTTACCAGGCCAATTTTCAGCTTTCAGCGCTGCCGCACTTTGACAATTGCGCGGTCATGCAAAATTGTACCCATATGAAATTTTGATCATTTTTTTCTCACAAATAGAGCTTTCTTTTGGTGGTATTTAATTGCCACTGGGCGCTTTACTTTTTGCGCTATAAATAAAAAAAGTGCAAAAAATTTGAAAAAAAAAAATTTTTTCTTTGTTTCTATTATAAAATTTTTCAAACAGGTATTTTTTCTCCTTCACTGATGTGCGTTGATGAGGCAGCACTGATGGGCACTGATAGGCACTGATAGGCAGCACTAAAGGGCACTGATAGGCAGTACTAATGAGGTGGCACGGATAGGCGGCACTAATATGCAGCACTGATAGGCGGCACTGATAGGTGACACTGGTGATGGGTACTGATAGACGGCACTGACTGGCATCACTGCTGGGCACTGACTGGCGGCACTGACTGGCACAACCCCTGGGCACTGACTGGTGGCACTGACTGGCAGCACTGCTGGGCTTCACTGGTGGGTGGCACTGGTGGGCAGCACTGGTGGGTGGGCACAGGTGGGTGGCACTGGTGGGCACAGGTGGGTGGGCACAGGTGGGTGGCACTTCTGGGCACAGGTAGGTGGCACTTCTGGGCACAGGTGTGTGACACTGCAGAGTGGCACAGGTGGGTGCACTGCTGGGCACAGGTGGGTGCACTGCTGGGCACAGGTGGGTGATCTGCTGGGCACAGGTGGGCGGAGCTAGTGGGCGCACTGCTGGGCACAGGTGGGCGGAACTTGCGGGTGGCACTGCTGGGCACCGATCATCAGGGCACTGATCATCAGTGTCCTGATGATCGGTGCCGATCCCCGCTGTGACAACTGCCGGTTCTCGGCAGTACTTTCCTCACGATCTGACAGCGTGAGGAAAGTGCAGCCGAGAACCGGCACTTGCATTTCCCTGTGATCAGCGTGTCATTGGACACCGCTGATCACGTGGTAAAAGGCCGCTGGGATCGGCCTTTTACCACATCACGTGATCAGCTGTGTCCGTAGGACACAGCGATCATGGAGATCACCGGGTGCGCACCCCCCTGGGGCGCGCAGGAGAGCGCGTTCTGGGGGGACGTCATATGACGTCCACCCAGAACTGGCCGGCCGCAGTGAAGCCGTCATTCGGCTATCTGCAGTCGGAAACTAGTTAAACATGTTGAAACCTGCTCAGAGGCAGGAATGTGGTGGTGGGACAGGTGTAGAGAGCTGGAGGAAGATGTGAGGCAGGAGGAGGAAGGTTGTCAGAAGGTCTAGTGGGATGGGGCTTGCCTGCAAGCCTGGAGCTGGAAAGTGGAAAACTCACTGACCTCCTGTGTGAGGGCCACCTGTATGGCAAGGATGGGTATGGCAGGGATGTAGTAGCCCAGCTGACAGGACTGGTAGCAGCAGCCAACCCGCAAGCGGTAAAGGAGAGGATCTGAGAAGTGAGTACACCTGCACCCCCTGGGGGGATAGGGAAAGGAGCTCTCTGGTGGGAAACAAGATTAGACCCCTACTAGTTACTGTTCACCTCAATTAAAGGGACAGGAGCCAGATCCCCCGCTCATGAAGAAAGTCTCCAGATTGCTAGGTGAAGAGGAGTTCATCTAGGGTCTGGGGTGGTACAACTAGCAGCTATGCTGGCTAGCACACCAACAAAGACTGCATCAAAGGAGAGAAGCTTGTGAATAGTTCAGGAAGTTGTCTTCAGATACCGGTACCCTTGGGCATCCAATACCCCCTTATCCTGTCCAAGTTCTAATCCCCTCAATATAACAAAACCAACACTCATGGCCTGGTTTTTTGTCTCTGGATGAAAGCTTGTGTCGAAAATGCAAAATAACTGGCTATGCAGGACTATAGGGGGACTCAATTCATCAGCAATCCCTAAGGGGGTAGTGCTACATGTATCTTTGCTACCTCTAGTTACCACCCTTTGGCTTGTTCCTTGACTACGCTTCTGCTTGATCCCAACCTGAAACCACTTGTTAATGTTAACGACCTTTGGCTTCTTTACTGACTATACTTCTGCTTGATCCCCATTTGCTATGTCTGCTACTGGACCCCAGCTTGCTCATCTCCCAGTGGGGTGATCCTGAGGACCACGACCTGATACTAATATACAGCAAAACCCATCATCGGATGCTCTGGTGCCTTGAGTGAGTCCACGTGATCTACCAGGGTGATCTGCTTCTATACCTATTCTGCTGATTGGTGGGAGTCTCTCTATTGCTATAGCTTTTGGTTTCGGGGCTTGACCACTGACCATGGTAGGTGTTGTTTGCCCCATAGTGAAGCCACTGATTGTCCGACTGGGCTTGTGGTCAAAAACTGCCCTGTGTAGGGAAGTTTATGGTTTACGTCCACTTCTCTGGCAACCAGTGCATCTTTTACAATACATTTATCACGTATGTATGTCTTTAGTCTTTGTTGTAGTTCCAGAATAACCTGATAAATTGGACAGCCCTTCAGTTTTTTTCCTCTGACTACTGGGAAGAACGAATCTTGGCAGATCCCATGTCTGAGAAATAACAAATGAATTCTAACAATTTACCGTCTCCG